ATTATTATGTATTAAACATATAATTAGTGAACACAAGTCAATGTTTATCATAACTTTACTTTCAAAATATTTTACTTCTCGTATTAAACTATTCATTGAACTTTAATTGCAAACAATTATTACGATTTGTATTCAAATACATATTGAAAACACGGCTTATTTTTAAGTGATATCTAATGACAATTGTTATGACATATTGAGTGCTGAATATTTTCACTAATTTACAATTATTATTGTTTTCCTAATTATTGGAGTTTTGAAATGAATTATTATTGAATGACATATTATTGTAATGACATACAATTGCAATTTGCAATATTACTACCAAAGCATTCAAAAAAATGTTTCTATTCTCCATAACTTAAGAGTCGGTCAATCAAGATAGTTTAATAGTTCTATAAAATTTATCGTGATTAATTAAAATTTAGAGTATTTATTTTTTTAAAGCGAGAAAAAAATTGTAGAATCTAAAGTTATGGGACATATGAACATTTTTTCTGAACGCTGTCATACAATAGTATAACTTCTATTGAAATTTTTGTTAAATTAAAGCTAAAATAGTTGTTATAATTTATTTCATTTCTATTGCTCTTACTATTTGTTGGTATCGTTAAGACATACAAATTGTCACACATTTTTGATTGTATTCTTTATTATTACGGTATTATTTCAAATTGAGTTTAGAGAGAGAGATAGAGAGAGGTGAATTGGTGGTTCACTTGAGCTGCATTAGTAAACTTGACACCAAAACATTGATATAATGATGATTGAAATGTATGGCAGATTGTGGGACATCGAGTGCGGGACGTGTTTGCGAGTATTGGACGGACACGAAGAACTGGTCCGTTGTATTCGATTTGATAACAAACGTATAGTTAGCGGAGCTTATGATGGGTTTGTTTTATACATTTGATTATATCATAATTAGAGCGTCTATTTGTCGGCATTCAAAATACCCACATTTAATGACAAATTGGAAATTAAAGTTTATATAAGTAATATAATTTGTGAATTGCCGACGAATCGACGGTCTAATGATAATAGTATTGAAATGATATGAAAAACTAACGAACAATTGAATGAACAGTAAAATAAAAGTGTGGGATTTGGCGGCAGCGTTGGACCCGCGCTCACCCAATGGTACGCTGTGTTTGCGAACTCTTGTTGAACACACGGGTAGAGTATTTCGGCTACAGTTCGATGAGTTCCAAATCGTGAGCTCTTCACACGACGACACTATACTTATATGGGATTTCCTGAGTCCCG